ATTTTTTTTTTTAAAGACTGGAAATGTAGGTCAGTGTGAGGTATAAGGGCCCTGACTTCAGTCCCCAGTATCACACACATACCCCCCCCAAAAAAAGGAAAACAAAAACACTTCAAATGCTGTACTCTACCTAAATAGAAAAAATTCTCTGTAAATCAGGCATGGTTGTATATACCCATTATTCAGCATGCTAAGAGGCTGAGGCAGGAGGATCACAAGTTCCAGCCCAGCAGAGCAACTTAGTGACTTATCTCAATGCTGGTCAGGTTACGGAGTGCAGCTGCTCCTCCTTCAGATGTCTAGAATTGTCCCCAAGAAGCCAGGGGTTTGTCCCCACTATTCCACATAGTTCCAGGCGTTTGGAGAGTGCGCCGCGCTGCAGTCCTCACGCCGGTGCTCACCTGGGCTTTCCCTGCCTGTGTTTCAGGACAAGGACTCCAGCCTGGATGCCCAGCCACACTTCAGCACGCTGGACGCTGGCGCCCCAGGCCTTGACGCCAGCCCCTCGCCATCCGCGTCCTCGAGCTCCCACAAGTCCACTCACACCGCCGTGTCGGAGCCCGCCTGTGAGTGCAGGTCTGGGCGGTCCGGGAGCCGGGTCGGGCCTGTGTCCAGCCCGTGCGTCTGTACCCGGACAGCTGCGGTCCTCTCTCTCTCCACTCCCTCCTGCCTGTGATCCCCTGTCCACGCCTCGATCCCCGTTACCCACACGGGCCCCACTGCCACTCACGACAAGCAGCTCAGATAATGGGGCCCCTTTTAGGGCCCCTTGGAAGGTGTTTGTTCGGCAGGTGGCTGGACCCCGTGGCAGAAATGAAGTCTGGGCTCTCCGTGTGGGGGCTTCCGCCCACTCCCATGGGTAGTGGCCTCCACCCTCCGAGGTCCACCCCAGCCCTCGTGTCCTGCACACCGTCCCCTCCCGCTAAGATGGCGGAGAGGGGTGCGCGTGTCACCTGGGTGTTCCCTGCTTCCTTACAGCCACTCCCACCAAGCTGATGGCCGAGGCCAGCGCCGCAGCTGTGCCGAGCTCACCTGCCCTCCCCCACGAGGTACCGGTGCCCGGGCTCAGCCAGGCGGCCACGATGCCAGTACGTGTGGGACCCAGGCTCCTCCGCAGGGGTGTGGCCGGATGGGGTGGACACTGTTTCCTCCCGAGGACCCATTTCCCTTAGGAGACAGAGGGTCTGGGGGTGGAGGGGACGCGAAGCCAGCCTTATAACAAGATTGATGTGGATGTTTGCAGATTACAAAACCCAAGTAGATTTTAAAGATAAAGCTCAGTTTCACACCTGCGCCAGAGCCCCAGGGCCCCCGTGGGTTTGGGACCCCAGGGCCCACTGCTGAAGCCCCGCTCTCTCCCAGGCGCCTCTGCCTTCCCCCTCGTCCTGTGACCTCTCGCAGCAGCTCCTGCCTCAGACCATTTTGCAGAGTCCGCCCGCCCCCGTGGCACAGGTGGGTCTGGGGCTTGGGACGCGGGCGACGTCCTCTGGAGGGTGTGGGCTGTCGGCGCTGGTGTGGGTCACACGAGGGCCCCAACCAGGGCTGGTAATGGGGCAACTCCTCCAAGGGGCAGGTGGGACAAGTGGAGGGAGAAAGCCCCATCTGTACACCTGTCCTTCTCTGCCGTTCTGGCCCCTCCCCCTACACGCGGACGTCACCGTGCACAGGGAAGGCTTAGATCGTAAACATTTACTACAGCAAAAGACACGACGCCGTTAATCTCCCTCAGAATCCTCTCCGCACTTCCAATTTGCTGATCCTGTGGTTCTTGCAGCTTCCTGGGGTTTTTTTGTTTTTGTTTTTGTTTTTCTGGTACTGGGAATCCAACTCACGACCTCGCGCTTGCCAGGCAGGCACTGTGCCGCTGAGCTAAATCCCCAGCCCCTCCTCCAGCTTTCTGAAGCAGCTCTGGAGTCCTCTTTCATGAGTGTCTTTATGAGGTGAGATCAAAAATATGGTGAACGCTGCTGCCGAGCGCCATCCAATGGAAAGCCGGCTCATGAAAACATGACACTGTCCTCCAACCTCTTATTCATTGCGTCTGGCACCAGGTGACTCCTGGCTCTTCCTCACAGCCAAATGAGCATGAAAGGAATCTTTTTGAATGGATTCAGGACATCAGACAGTCACAACTGCATAACAAAGACACTCCCACAGGAGGACTTCCAGCACTGCTTCAGAAAGTGGCAAGAGCCCTGGGATACATGTGCTCACAGCAAGTGGGTTCATGGCAGTGTGTCCTTTACCATAAGTTTTTCTTAATGTAAACATCCACCTATTTTTCAGTCGTACCTCACATGTTCTAAGAGCTCTCTTTCTGTGTTTCACCTCATACCCATCTCTGGTCATTCCTCTGCCACTCGTCCACGTAGCATTCGTTGTTGATGATGCCAAAGTGGCCATGGTGTTTAGCAAAGATCTGAGTTAAGCCAAGTATCATAAGAAGACTCTGAAAGGATCTAAAAGCTGTGGGTCCAGAGCTATAAATACCATATTTGGGTTTTGTTTTGTTTTCTTTTTTTAAGATGACAGCATTGCTGAGGCGGGAGATCTAACTCAGTGGCACAAGTGCCTGCCTGGCAAGTGCAAGGTCCCGAGTTTGATTCCTGCCACCGAAAAAAAAATTACAGCATTGCTGAGTGATTCCTTCCTTGCTTCCACAACATTGAGGGAGCTACAGTGAGGCTCAGTCTGAGGGCAAGGGGCTGGGGTCCAAAGAGGGTTGCAACAAGGTCTTTGCTCTTAGTTCCCAGAGGTAAAGGGAGAGGCAGGTGGATAAACAGAGAAACCACCATAACAGGCCCATGTTTCTGTAGGATCAAGGACAAACAGTCCCAGTGGCCTCCCAGAGGTGGCACTTGGGTTGGCCTCAGAAGGATGGCTAGTAGGTTCAGGGGAGAATTAAGAGGCAGGGAGAATGGGGCCGGGTTTTCCCTTCTGTGTTCTCAACTCGGGGTCCCCTTGCTTTCCCATGTAGAGGAGGTCAGTGGCCACAGAAGGAAGAGTGAGGCTGCGGAGACATTTGCAAGTCCGTGGGCCCCAAAGGAGGGGATGACGGGAAGTGTGAAACAGAAGGGAGGAGGGAAAGAAGGAAGGGAGGCAGGCGGGATGGCAGGGAGAGGGGGAAAAGGAAAGGAAAAGAATACAGGCAAATCACAGTGCAGAGCGCCCCAGCAGGACTGGGGGCCCGGGAGTGAGCCCTGCTCCCGTCTGACACATCCTGTGGGAGAACCCCGCAGGAGGTAGGCAGGTGACAGGCACAGGTCCCCGGCAGGACGCTCCTAAAGCCAGCCCTGTCCCCAGACGGCGCTAAGGGCCTAGGAGCTGGGAGACTGGGTGCTCTGAGCAGAGCAGACCTAGGTCCTCTGCAGGTCCCTGCCAGTCCCCCTGGGGAACGTCAGTGGCCGTCTCTTCTTCCACATGGGTGTGCGTGTTCAGAGCAGCAAGTGAGCCGGGGATGGGAGGGGGAAGAGGAGGCCTCTGTGGTCCCTGGCCAGCTTGGAGAGAGCCACGGTCGCATTCAGGGTCAGACAGGAGAGAGCCAGGGTCAGACAGGGCCCCGAAACGCCATCAAAGTGTCAGCTACAGTCGGCCTCACCCTAGGAGGAAAAGGAACTCTCAGATGCCTGTTTGCGACCTTCGTCTCCGAAGGCTTTTGTCCACCCGATTCAGCGGGGAGCTCCCGCCTATGGCGGGCTCACCAGGCTCTCTTCCCCTCTGTGGCCTCCCAGCCATCAGGCAGTAAATGTGACCTGCGGTCATCCCAGCCTAAGGACAGCTGGCTGGGGCCCCGTGACCCCTGTGGTGTAGGGATGCCAGGAAGGATGGCCAAGGGAGCAGAAGGGAAGTGTCCAGCGCTGAGGGGAGTGGTGGTGGAGACCCACCAGCCAGGCTGAACTCGCTCTCTGAAGCGTTGTGTCTTCCCTCTGCGGGAAGTTCTCCGCACAACTCAGCATGTTCCAGACCATCAAGGACCAGCTGGAGCAGAGGACGCGGGTGCTGCAGGCCAACATCCGGTGGCAGCAGGAAGAGCTCCACAAGATCCAGGAGCAGCTGTGCCTGGTGCAGGACTCCAGCGTGCAGGTGACCCCCTGTCCTGGGATGGCCCTCAGTCTGGCTCCCTGATCCCCTCCACAGGCAAAGTATGGCGTGCAGCACCACCTCCTGTCCCCAGCTCCAGGCCACTTACGGGGTCCCCACGGCACCTCACCCCTCACTTTCACCCTGGGGGAAGCGCTCTTTGCCGCCCCAGCGCAAGGTCACACATGCGTCTGGCACGTGATCACCCTGCTGGATGCCAGGGAGCTTAATTCTCACAGCCCCAGTCCTTGGGTGGTCTGCTGCCTCCAGATGGAAGCTGTGTGGTGGGAGGGTCTGGTGGAGGAGGGCTGCTCTCCTCACGGCGAACAGGAAGCAGAGAGCAAAGGGAGGAGCTGCGGAGGGAGAGAAACCCTCCAGGCCACGCCCCCAGTGACCACCTCTTCCCGCCAGACCCCGCCTCCTAGTAGCCCATGGGCTCTAATCCCGCAGAATTCAGTCGCCTTCCAAAAGCCCTGCCTCGGAGTGCCTGAGGCTCCTGAGAGGGGATCAAGATAGAAACCATACCACTGTGACCCCCACATGTCAGTTCTTAGAGTCCTATTGAACAGTTTCTTAGGGGGAGGAAAAACTGAGTAGATCGGCTCTCTTTCAAGGATAGACTCTGTTTACCGAGTTTTAGTCACTTCAGGCCAGGACAGTTGTGTCCACGAGTGTGCCGGGGGACCCAGCCCTTCAGTGCAGATGACCTCCTCGCCAAGCTTGGCAGCTGCCCTGGGAACTGCAGGCATTTAGGAGAGATGGAGTAGAAGCGGCCGAGGACTGTCCCTGCCTCTGTCCCATGCCTGCCACAGAGACTCTGCCCCACCTGGCCACCCCACTCCCAGAGCTCAGGAGCCCCTTGACGGGCAGGCTCCCAGGTCTCACTGGTGGCTGGAGAGGCCTCTTTCAGGCCATCTCTTCCCGGGGTCTCCCGCAGCTCTGCCTGGAGGCCGGAGGACCCAGGAGGGACACTGGCTGCTCCCTCCCACCCTGTGTCCACACTGCCTGGTGTCTACACCAGCCAAGGCCGCACTCACGTCCTGCTGCCTCCCCCACGTCAGCGACACCCCACACTGGTGAGAGAAGCAGGGTGGTTGCCCCCTTTTGCTTACCTCGTCCCCACTGTAATGTTTTCCTCCCTGAGCTCAGGGAGAGGTTGGTAGCCCAGACTCTGCCTGACTCAGTTAGTGTATGAGATTTTCACACTCCCGGGAGGGGAAATTGAGCCGGAAGCTGCTGAGAGCCAGGGCGACCTGAGAGCATCCTCCTCGCACCTGGGCTCTTCTGCCTCCTGCTTTCCCCCTGGCAGCAAGATTTTAAAATAACAGGCAGCAGAGCCACTGCTCTGAGCCCCCACTGTAAAGAAAGATGGCGTTTTCCCTTAGGACCGGTGGGCTTTGTTAACGCACAAGGCACCTGTGTTGAAGAGCACCCGAGTTCTTTCGGGGTGCCGGGGACATCGGACCCTCAGCTCGCTCCTCCTGTGGGTTCTTTCCTTCCTCGAGCTGGTTCCTTTGTTCTTGTCTTCTGATGGAATTTTCCAATGCACAGGGAAAGCCACCGAGGCTCAGCCACAGAACACCGCCTCCACAGTCGGCCTTCTTGTTCTTCACAAGACTTAAAGAAATGATTCCACAGCGCTTAAGCAAACTGTGGCGTTTGTTTTAAAAAAAGAAAAAACAAACAACTGTGTGCTTCATGTGCACAGAATAAGCCAGTAAAAATTCTCCTGGCAGCGGGAGGGATGAAAGAGAGGCGAGGAGAGTGAGGTCTGTTGAATCCCAGACTGACACATGCGTGCCCGCGGTTTCATCCTACCGCTTCCGCAGCTGTGTACCTCCGCTAGGACTTAAAATGGCAAGAATTCATAAGAGTGAGAGGATAAAAAATGAAGAGTCATGAGTGAGGGTAGGGTTGATTTGTTCTTGAATATTAGGGATTTTTTTCCCTCTGATAACTTTTCCTCCTTGAATTGGGAAACTGTATTTTGTTTGGTTTGGTTTTTACATATTTTTTATAAAATTGATCCCAAAACCCTTTTAGGAAATCAGCTTCTTAAGCCATAAAATTCCACTTTATTAGGCCGGTGTGATGGCATAGGCCTGTAATCCCCGTGCTTGAGAGGCAGAGGCAGGAGGATCACCGAGCAAGGCCTGTCTGGGCTAGGTAGTGAGTTCAAGACCAGAACTACGTAATGAGACCCTCTCTCAAAAAAACAAAAACAGCAACAAAAACCCACTTCTACTCTTTGCTGAGGCATCAGAGGCGTGGATGCGTGTGGCAGCAAAGCAGGCCCCCCCCCAAGGGTGTCCGGCCGCGCCCGGCTCAGTAGACTCCTCCCATCTTACCTCAGCTTCAGAAGGGTCAGGGAGGCCTCCTGTTTCTGGAGTTTGCTGAGTGTGAACCTTTAATTGGGTTAGGAGGGAAGGTCCTCTAGGGCTATGGTGTTTGCATCTTGCTGGGGTCATGAGGGGCCCCAGCTAGGCCCCGGCTCCCCTGGAAAAGGGCCTGTGGCCCCACAGTAAGGGCAAGGCCACCTCTTGCTCTTTTGGGGAGCATGTGCGCCCTCTAGTGGCTACTCGGGTAAATGCCCACATGGACACCTGTAGCCATGGTAAACGACATGTCTGTCCCTTGATTGGTACTTTCTGCCATCCATCAACCCATCCTTTCCCAACCCACCCACCCTTCCTTCCACCCATTCCTCCTTCTACTCATCCTCTTTCCTTCCGTCCTTCCATCCATCTTTCCACCCATCCATCCATCCATCTTTCCACCCATCCATCCATCCATCTTTCCACCCATCCATCCATCCATCCATCCTTCCACCCACCCATCTATCCATCCATCCACCTGGCAGGCACTCATTCTCCGCCAAGTACCTGGCTGGGCACTGCAGGGACATAACAATAACCAGAGCAGGTTTTCTGGTGTCCAAGAACATACTCCTACATCAGGGGGACAGAGAAGCAGAAACAGCCTATTACATAGCACAAGCAGAAATGGTTTGAGCAAAACATTTCACTCATTTATTCATTCACTCATGTATTTTTCATTCATTCATCAGATAATTTTAATATACCTCGAGAGTCAAAGGAACAAAAATATTCTTTCTTCTATATGGGGGCGCAGTTTGAGACAGGGTCTCACTCTGTAGTCCAGGCTGGCCTCAAACTCACCATGTAGCCCAGGCTGTCCTCACACTCACTGCGATCCTTCTGCCTCAGCCTCCCGTGTCCTGAGATTACAGGTGTGAGCTACCACGCCAAGCTCTTTTATATTATTATTGCTTAACATTTATTCACCATTTCCTGAGTCTCAGGTGCTTTACATGCACTGAGCTCCTATAATTCTTCATGAAGTATTTGCTGTTAATGTTGTTGAGTTATGTATCAGGAAACTAAACATTTAGAGTGTCCAAGGTTCTACTGCTCATAGAGGGTAAGGTGGGACTGGAACCTAAGTATACCTCTCTTCAGCTAGATAGTAATGAATGTGTCATAAACAAAGCACAAATTTATTTGATTTCTAATCCATGTAAATTGTATCATACCAAAAATGTATGGTAATTGGGTTTGAACATTAGGTTTTCACGGAAGTGGTGAGAAATAGGTTACCTGTTTGCATAAACAAGCTATACACTAAGAGCTGGCTGGAATTACACATAACACTAACCCTCAAACACGAGCGTGGTAGGTACGAGAGTCTTCCCAGCTCTCGCTGAGTGTCCTGTTAAGAAACTGTAGATTGGGCTGGGGATTTAGCTCGGTGGCGCAGCACCTGCCTGGCAAGCATGAGGCCCTGAGTTAGATTCCCAGTGCCCCAAAACAAACAAAAGACAATAACAGAAACTGCAGGCTTCTGGCTTGGGGCAGGGCACAAGAGGAGACGGGAGAAGAGCGTAGGTCAGCCAAGTCTCAGGGTGGCACCTGTCTACCTTGGGTAGCTGCCTAGTGACCCCAGCCACCACGAAGGAGGCCCTGAGCTGGCCCGCCCTGGGGCCCCTCCCAGCACCTGTGGGCACCAGTTCTCATCTGCCAGGCCACACTTGCCCCCTGTGCAGCTGGGTCTGCTCGTCACTGTGTCCCGGCCCGGGGCTGAACATGCAGGTGCCGGAGAGGGCAGTGTTTCCTGAGAACCGCACAGCCGAAGGTGACCTCACTAAGCTTAGGGGGTGTTTTTAATGCCAAAGAAGGGATTTTCCTAAAAGAGGTATTGATAGGTCCTTGGTTAAATTATTTTTTTTTTTGTTTTGTTTTTGTTTTTGCTTTGTCTTTTTGAGACAGGGTCTCCCTATGCAGTTCAGGCTGGCTGTCAGCTCACTTTGTAGCCCAAGCTGGCCTCGAACTCGCACCGATCCTCCTGCCTCAGCCTCCTGAGTGCTGGGATTACAGGCGTGCGCCACCACACCCGGCTACTTGGTTAAATTATTATGAAAATCATTTAAAGCTGTTTTTCTTCAACATCCAGAGTCAACTTACAGATCCAGTTTTTCTTACACATCTACTAATTTGGCCTTAAAGGAACAAGGCTTCCACTTGTGGTTCTTTTGTGTTGATTTAGTTTATAAGTTCAGCAGATTATGAAGAATCAGTATTATCAACCCCTTTCCTGGCAGATTTCACACATCTGAATCTGTCAAACATTTCCAGTACCTAGCAAAGAAAACAGATAAACCTAACAAGTAAAATCCTCCCAAACACTAAGCTCTTTTAAATAAAATACAGTAAGCCTTCAGGGCTGATGAGGGTTTGGTCCCAGCATTTCCCGCAGAAACCCAAACCCACCGTGCTCAAGTCTCTCATGGGAAACAGCATGGCCTTTGCATGGAACCCACCTGCACCCCACAAGTCACCTCTGGGTTACCGTGTGGCGTCCACATACCTAATCCCAGTAAGTGCTGGGTGAATAGCTGTTGTCCTCTATGCTTTAGGGACAATGGTAAAGAAAATAATCTGTACAGGTTTGGTACAGATGGTGTCTTGGTTACTTTTCTCTCATTGCTGAGACAAAATACCTGACTCCCAAAATTAAGGAAGGAAATGTTTACTTAGCTCACAGTTTATAAAGGTTTCAGTCCATACTTGGCTGGCTCCAAGGCAGAGTGGCACATGGCAGAGGGCAACCTTTCATGGCGGTGGAAAATAGCAAAAGCAACAAGAGCAAAAGGGAAAAGGACACGTGGGCAGCCTCTTTCCCTCCCTTACATTGTATGCAAACTACCTGCCCCAGGGAGGGTGTAGCACTCACACCCATAACCCCAGCACTGGCCCATGGATCAATCATAAACTCTAAAAGCCCGCCCCATGACAGCATGAGGCTTTGGGGGGACGTCCAGACACAAACAGTAACAGATGGAATTTTTTCCCAAATATTTCTGATCCAAGACTGGTTGAATCTGCAGGTACTGAACCCAGAGCTATAAGCCCTCCCACATACATTGCCTTCAGATAGAAACTGAGCCAGCTTCAGCTGCCACAAGTGCGTCAAATTGCTCCTCAAGCATCTGACTCCCGGCTTATTTCACACCATCAGATCTCAGCCACTCGATGACCTTCATGAGGGCACAGATGGGGTCTCCTCAACCTAACCACTCTGTCCAGGCCCGGGGTGGGCATCCTGGGCTTCTCTGGCTAGAGCTGAGTCCATGCACCATTTCCAAGCCATTCAGGGGCACCCCAGACCCGCCTCCTTCCTGTGACAGGGGACACAGCAGGTGTGCACCTGGGAGGCACACCTGCCGCCCTGACAACTGTTTCTGTCCGCCTCCAGATGTTCCTGCAGCAGCCGGCTATCTCCCTGAGCTTCAGCAGTGCCCAGCGGCCCGAGGTGCAGCAGCAGCAGCTGTCGCAAAGGGTGGCTGCTGTGTCTCAGCCCCAGCTTGTGACAAGCCCCCAGCTTCCGGGCCAGATGGCCTCGGCCCAGGTCACAAGCCAGCACCTGCTCAGAGAGTCCAGCGTGATTGCGAGCCAGGTACGCACGCGCTGGTCCTGGCGTGGTCCTTCCCTGGAGCAGGCGCACCTCGCAGGCCAGGATGTGACCTGGGAAACGACGGCAGCTGTCCCTCTGGACGGGGATGGATTTTTCTCTACTTTTTTAAAAGTCACTTTGCAGGTCCGAGTTATATTGGCTTCCTTCTGTATTTTGCACTTTTGCCCTTGAAGACACCAGGCAGCTTTCCACCTCGATCCTGCGGTAGAGCTGGAGCAGAGGACACCCTAGACCCTCACACCTATCCCCCACCCACTCCTCGTTTCTGCCGTTGCCCACCGGAGCAGCCTGCTCCACTCACTGTCCCTTCACCCGGGACCACCTTGCTCCTCCGGGTCACTCTCAACCCCCACACACACCCACCCCACGCTGCTTTGGCACACCCCGCTCTTGAGTGGAGTGGACTCAAGAAGTCCCAAGGCCCGCCACTCCCTGGGTCACAGGCCAGAAGCAGGAAGCCGTCTGCCCTCAGCCTTCACACCGAGGCTGCTGCGGCTTCCCTGAGCATCCTTTAAGCCCCTGTGTCTGCAGGGCACGGAGGGATTGGCCAGGTCGTTGCCCTCAGCGGTGGGGAACTCAGCCAGGGAGCAGCTGATAGGGCTGCAGTCAGCCTCGGCACCAGAGCGTGTGGGTTCAAGGCCCAAGTGGGTACCACGAACTGGGGATGCTAACTAAGTCCCTTTTATAAAATGACCTAGTATCTGCATGGAGGCCACCCACGTCCTCCTGAAGACCTGGTTAGTGCTGGGGGTGGAAGCCAGGGCCTTGTGCATACCAGACAAATTCTCCACTGTGACCCGCACCCCGCACCCTTTAAACCACCCCAGATGACCCTAAACACTTTCTGTGATAACAGTGCCTCGAAAAGAGTTGCATCCCTTGAGGAATCATGAGAAGAAAAGATCTGCATACGTTCAGTAAAAGCGTAATTATTTTCAAATATGTCTGAGCAGTGGTTGAGGGAGTTCGTGGGTAATGAGAGCTGACTGACTGTCCATGTGTAGGAGGCTTTCTCCCAGCCTTATCCAAACGGAAGGGTTTTCCCTGAACCTAGAGGCTTTTTGTTTGAAAGCTCATCACAAAAATGAATGGGTGAGAATTAGCCAAGAAAATTCTGGAAAAGAGAAAACGAGCAGGATTTACACTGCGCATCCCGCAGGGCTTTGTGGGAAAGCACTGTGGCATCCCTGGGGGAGGGGCATCGGGGGACAGACAGGAACCGGGGAGCAAATCCTCCATGCGTGATTCCGCTGGACCAGGATTTACAAAGCAGGTGCCGCGTGCCAGGCACTGACTTCCCAACACTGAGGGAGCACGGAGGGCAAAAAGAACAGAGAGAAACGGGGGTGGGGAGTAAAAAATCACAGTAATCTCAGTGTCACTATGGGAAAGGTAGTTAGGGTGCAGGGGTGTTAAACAGGTGGACAGGAGCTCCCCGAAGAAGACAATACTGCAGCAGAGACCCGAGAGGAAAGCAGGCCCTCAGCAGTAGCAGGGCAGGACATCCCACACAGAGGATCAGCTTGTGCAAAGACCCTAGGGCAGCAGGAGGCCTGGTGGGGCCTTGCATCTGGGGCAGAATTTGTGAAGCAGAAGACAGGGTTTGGTTCAAGGCGCATGTATTACTTGGCTACTGAGAAACTGACACCAGACCAGAGGGACCCCAGGGATCCCTTTGGAGCCGTGAACCCAGTGGGAAGCCAGCTGTAACCTCGAAAGGACTCCGTATCTCAGGGGAAAAAATCTGGTGGGTAGAAGGAGCTCTGTATTTGGAAGGTTTCCTGTGGAGATGACCTGAGCTGAGTCTAAGGTTTTTGTTTGGTTTTTGGCTTTGCGTTTGTTTGTTTGTTTGTGCTGCAGGGAATCTAACCTTAGAGCCGTCATACTGAGCTTCAGCCCCAGTCCTTTTCTAATTATTTATTTATTTATTTATTTATTTGGTTTTGGTTTTTTTCCGGTACCGGGAATCGAACTCAAGACCTTGCGCTTGCCAAGCAGGCGCTGTGCTGCTGAGCTAAATCCCCAGCCGCCTAATTTTTTATTTAGTCTCCAGTCTCCTTAAATTGCCACATTGCCCAAGGCGGGGTTTGAACTGAGATCCTCCTGCCTCAGCCTCCTGGTCCGCTGGGATTACAGGCATGCACTACCACGCCCAGCTCCAGTTTAAATTTTTTTCTTTCTTGTTCCTCCCTGCTCCAGGGTCCGAAGTCCATGCGAGGCCCCCAGGTGGTTCAGGGGAGCAGCCGCTTGGCCAGCAGCCTGCCGCCCCCCTTTGGCAGCACTGCGGCACTGCTGCCCCCGGCTCTGAGCCTGGCCGCCCCCGTGCCCACCTCCCAGGATGCCAGCCAGTGCCAGCCGGGCCCCGACTTCAGCCACGACCGGCAGCTCAGGTGCGATGCTCCCCACCGGCTGCGTGAAAAGGGAAACTGAGGCACCACGTACCCTCTTCGCCTGTGTGCCTGGGAGGGAGGCGGAGCTCAGACAGAGGCCGAGGGCTCTGCAGGAGGTGGCAGGAGAGGGTGTGGGGTACTGGTGGTCCCGGGGCGCCCCCCTGAGGACGGAGTGGGAGGTGGACACCTGGCCGACGCTGGCCCTTTCTCCTCCCTCGAAGGCTGCTGCTGAGCCAGCCCATCCAGCCCATGATGCCCGGCTCCTGTGACGCGAGACCACCCGCAGAGGCCAGCAGGACAGGACAGCACGTCAAGTAGGTGGCGGGGCAGGCGGGGCGGACCAGAGCTGCATGGGTGTCTCCGTGCCGGCTCCACCCGGCTCCTTAGACCGATGCTCAGGAGCAGGCTGTGTGGTGCACACCTATGATCCTAGCACTCGGGAGGCTGAGGCAGGAGGATCGCCAAGCATCTGGGGCTAGCCCGGGCTACATAGTTTGAGACCCTGTCTCAAAAGCAACAGTGGAGGTGTAAGGAGGTATGGGTCATGACTCTGGAGGCTGGGAGGCCTTCCTGCCTCCTCATCACAGGGCAGAGGCACCGCATGGACAGAGAGTGAGGGTGCTGGCTTGGATCTCTCATGAAGCCACCAGGGCCTTCCTAGGGGCCCCGCCCCAGGACTTCCTCTCACCCCGGTTACTCCCAGGCACCGCTAGCAGGCAGGGACTCCAGGGGTTGAGTTTTCAACAGCCGAACCTCTGGGGTCCACGTCAAACCACAGCCTGCGCTCCTCCCATCCCCCGCACCACAGCGGGTGTCAGCTGCCTTCTGACGAGGCACAGGCACGGGTTCCTGCAGACCCGGGCGAAGCCTTCGTCCTAGAAAACATTTTCCGGCCCCTTGAGGGCAGCGAGGATAGGACTGCAATGCCCGGGTCAGTCTTGTGTGAACTTCGGAACTTGGGGTCCGCAGGTATCCAGGACAGGGCCCGGCAGCCCGCAGGAACGGGACCTGAGCGTTTCTGGGCCCTATATTGCCTCCCCACCACCACCCCTCGCCCCGTCCCTGGAGAGACTCTGGCGCAGGGACGCTTTGCCTCTCCTAATCAGCGCCGATGGAACCTGAAAGGGCCGAGGCTGCAGTCGCCATGATGCGCATGTTCCGGGGAGGAGCCGGGGCCCTTGCACTGTCCTGAGACTTCGAAGATGACCGTGCTGGCCCTCTCTGAGGTCTCCCCACAACCTTGGGACAGCATACTGAGGGGCTGGTGGGGCCGGAAGCCAAGGCCTCGGGCATGCTCTGCCGCTGAGCTCCACCCAGCCCTGCTGTAGGACTTTCCAGGGCCAGAATGTTCCGGCCTCCCTCGGGAACAGTGACACGTGAAGGGAGGGTGGCGGAGGCCTGCACCCTGCCGGCAGCTGCCTTGACGTCCCCTGCCTGGGCCAGGGTTTTGGTTTTGGCTTTGGCTTTTGCCTCTTCTCCCTAGATCCCACCCCTGAGTGTGTGTGTGGTAAAATATACCTAGTACAGTATTCATCCTTGTAACTATGGGACGTGTGTCACTGTGTGGCACTGAGCGTGCTCACACTGCCGCGGAACTTACACCACCATTATCTCCAGAACTTTCCCATCTCCCCCGACTGCAGCTGTGCCCCTGGTGAACCCCAGCTCTCCCCTTTCTAGTTCTCTGTCTCTGTTTTGGTACCACACAGACTGCTGTCCCTCGGTGGCTGGTTTGCCTCCCTTATGCTAAATCTCCCACGCTCCCTGCTGCCGGAGCACACAGCAGCAGCCCTCTCCTTTTGGGGGCTGCGTAGTATTCCGCTGTGTGGTTGCATCCGTCGGTGCACACCCGGGTGGCTTCCGCCTCTCAGCATGACTGAACGGTGTTTGCGTGTGCACAATCACCTGCTCGGTGCCTGCTCCTGCCATCTTTGGGTGCCTACCCCGGGTGGCACTGCTGAATGATCTCAAGGTCATTCTGGGTTTAATTTTCTGAGGACTCTGAGCGTTGTTTTACACCATGTGACCGTCCCAGCACCGGTGCACAGGAATCCGGTGTGTCCGCGTCCTTATCAACAAGCGCTTTTTCTACTGGTTTGGTTTGTTTTTGTGGTACTAGGGATTGAGCCCAGGGCCATCGAGCTCAGCTACTTCCCCAGATCTTTGTTACTTTTTATTTTGAGATAAGGTCTTGCCAAGTCCCTAAGTTCCCCAGGCTAGGCTCAAGTTTTGGATCGTCCTGCTTCAGCCTCTCAGAGTGCTGGGATTACAGGACTGTGCCATCATCACAGCCGCTCAGGTTTTTGTTGTTTTTTTTTAATGGTAACGGAGGTGAACTAGCCGCCCCTTTGGTTCCGATTTGTTTTTCCCTGTCGACTTCTGACGTGGACCATTGCATCACACGCCGTCTGGCACCCGGATCTTCCCTTCGGGGGAGGTCGCTGAGCCCCCGCCTGCGCTCTAGTTGGCTGTGTCACTGTTTGGTGGCCGTGCGGGTGACGGAGCTGAGGGAACTCTTGATCTGTTCCCAGCGCCCATCTCTCTTCAGACAGGATTTGCAAATGTTCCCCTCCCCCGCCGCCCCTGGGCTGCCCTTCCCCCGCTAACAGCGTCCCCACGTACGAAGTTTTGCGTGCCGTTTTGCCGATTTTTCGTGTTTCCTGTGCTTCTGGTGTCACACCCGTGCCTTTTTCTTAAAGGGTCTGTTTTCTCCTCCCCTCGTGAATCGAGCAGGTTCGCACCGAGCCAGGCCGCGTTTCCCAGTCCAGACTCGCACCCGGCCAGCAGCAGTGCCTCGACGCCCGTCCTGCTGATGGGGCAGGCGGTGCTGCACCCCAGCTTCCCCGCCCCGCAGCCGGCCCTGCAGCCGCAGCCGCACTACCTGCAGGTGGGCAGTGGGCACCGGGATGGGGGGCGGGGGTTGGGGGCCAGGAGCAAGGCCAAGTCCCCTCCCCGCTTTCCGGGACACACTGCCCCGCACAGTCCTCCCGGGTTCAACTGCTGCTGGTGCCTGAGGCTTTTAAATCTGTGCGTATGGAGCCTGAGAAATGCAGAGTGGCTGCAGTGACTCACATGGTTCTATGCTCAGAAGGTCCTTGGGAGGCCTTCACTTTTCCTGACCCTGCACCTTGCTGTGCCCAAATTTATTAGAGCAGAAACGGACCCTGGTGCCTGCTGATGCTGGCCTTTTGGGTACACGTATAAAGTCTTACACAGCCGCCTGCAATCCCAGCTACGCAGCAGGCTGCGGCAGAAGAATCACAAGTTCAAGGCTGAGCTGAGCATGGTGCTGCACACGTGTAATCTGAGCACTTGAGAGGCTGAGGCAGGAGGATCACTACCAGTTTGGGGCCATCTTGGGCTACCTAGTGAGTTCAAAGCCAGCCTGAACTACCTACGGAGACCCTGTCTCAAAAAAAAGAAAAGTTCAAGATTAGCTTGGGCAGTTAAATGAGACTTTGTCTCAAAAATGAAAAACAAAGGCCAGGCATAGTAGTGCTGCAATCCCAGCAGTCAGCAGGCTGAGGCAGGAGGATCACTGAAAGCTTGAGGCCAGCTTGGGCCACATAGTGAGTTCAAGGCCAGTGAACTACATAGAGAGACCCTGTCTCACACTAAATAAATAAACAAACAAATAAATAACAAGAAAAGTCTTACACAAATATGAATCACATTTAAATACCCGTCAAACTGTCTTAATAAATACAATGTTGAGTGACACTGGGTCTCGCCCAGGAATATGGAGCACATTTACTACTTACGAGGCAAAAACTATTTCACAAAGGTATCAAATACACCGGAAGGAGGGAGGGTGGGAGGGGTGGGAGCCCCCAGTCTGGGATTCAGATGGGAGCCACAGGCCCACTGAGGCTGCCCCTTCGGCACGTGCCCAGGGCTTCCTGCTCTGGCCGGGCCAGGGGCCTCCTGAGGGCCGTGGGACAGACACGGAGAGCATCACCCTTGCGGTGTGGGATGTAATTTCCTCCAAAGCCGTGAGCCACCTGTTCAGTAATTCTCCAATCTCCCAACGCCCCAGTGTGGGGTCAGCTCCAGCTTGGCTCTGCAGACCTGCCAGACTTGGGGCACAGCAAGGACTTGGGGTGGACGAGGAGGAAGCGGGAGGAGGAGGAGAGGCATCATGCAGGTGCCAGGCGAGGACGCAGAGCTCTGGACCTGCTCGATGCCCTCAGGACTTCAGGGTTGGGGCCGTGTGCACAGCCAGGCTCTGGGGAGCACAGAGGGAGGGCACGGGCGGGGAGCTCCACAGAGGCAGGGGCTGGGGAGAAGAGGCCTTGCAGGTACCTGCCACAGAGCCCAGCAGCTCCGGGAAAGACCTGAAGGCAGGGAGAGGAGCAGAGATGAGGGACCTGGCATGGGGGACGGGTGCTGGGCAGCTCCGAAAGTGGGGTCGGGGTACTGAGTTCCTCAGGGGGGACATGGACTGGGAAGAAGAGAAGGATATGAGACCAAAGCGTCTGCAGGCCAAAGCTTCTGACCCTCAGCGTGTTTCCCAGTAGGTGCTGTGGAGGCCGTGCTAGGGACAGTCATAGGATCAGGACCAGCAGGGGAAGCATGCAGATCCACGGTGTAGCCAAAAAATACGGTGAAATTTTACACTCTTCACATAGTTCAGTAAAAGACACATTGCTATGGGACCTCCTCAAAATACCCTCTTCACCTCACACACACTTACCCCTCCTTCTTCCCACTTTCTGCAGCAGCTCTGGAGTTCTCTTTCCGAGTGTCTTTAGCTGTGCTGTCCTGGCTGCCCCGATGTCCTGAACCCTTTTGAAACACCGGCCTCTCATGGTCATTTTGACTTTGGGGAGCAGCAGAAAGACCCACAGTGCCCATTCCAGTGGATGTGGACACAGCATCATGTTCTTACAAGCTCCCTTTCCACCAGATGGTGCTGAGCCACAGAACTCCCTGCATTTTTTTATCTCACCTCATAAAGACACTCCTGAAAGTGGGCTCTAGAACTGCTTCAGAAAGTAGGGAAGATTCTGAGGGGGGATTCGTGGCAATGTGTCTGCTACTGTAATCATTTTTGGTTTTTGTCTTTTTGAGACAGGGTCTCGCTGTGCAGTTCAGGCTGGCCTTGAGCTCACTTTGTAGCCCAGGCTGGTCTTGAACTCCCAACAGTCCTCCTGCCTCAGCCTCCCGAGTGCTGGGATTACAGGCATGCGCCACCATGCCTGGCTTGTAATCATTTTTTACATAAGTGTTCAGTGTACATTTCCATCACATCTTGCACACATGTGCAGATTCCGCCCTGTTGGCCGTCCCCACGACGCCTCAGGCCCCATCACCCAGGCCCCTCAGGCCACGTGTAGATGTGGAACACAAGAAACCATCCCCGCAGCCTCGGCCCGGGCGCACTGGGCCCGGGGGAAGCGCAGGGTTGGCGGAGAGCTCTTCCCCTCCACCAGGAGGGCTGAGGCTGCTCTCACCTCCACTCACGGCCGCTAGGTGCAGCCAAGCCGCCTCTCCCGACCGGACACCCGGCCGGCAGAGAGCTCAGCCCCTCGGTCTGAGCCCAGCCCAGCCCCTGCCAACCGCAGGGCACTGCAGGGACGCGAAGGCGGCGGCGGGGCTGGCCAGCCTCTGCCTGTTCTGCAGCCTTTCTCTTTCCTTCCCGGCACAGGCGCCGACCTCTTTGCACAGTGAACAGTCGGACCCGCTGCTCCTCTCCACCTACTCCCAGCAGCCCGGGGCCCTGGGCTTCGCCCCGCCACCCCCCGTGCAGCCCCCGCCCACACGCCCACCCCGCAGGGTCAGCCGTGTGTCCGAGTCGTCGGGCCTCCCGCAGCCGCCCCGGTAGTGCGCCGGCACTGGAGTGGGACACGATCAGCTCCGACCGATGGACGAGGGGTGGTGACGGGAGACGGGAAAGCGGTCTGAGCTAAAGCCCTGGCTTCCGGCACCTGCGTACATTTCGGAGCGCCTGGATGCACCGCGGAGGGCCGTGCTTCCGTGCCGCGAGCTCCTCGGCGCCCTCTACAGCCATACGGGATGGAACCGAGCGCCCAGGCGGGCGGCGGGGCTCCGTGCACCTGCAGAGGTAGCGCCCCGGCCGCCTTCCTGGAGGGTGCACGGGTTACTCCACGCAGTGGCCCTGTCCCCACGCCCCAGCTGGCCTTCGCTGTCTCAGCCGTGTTTCTTTGCATTGGAGAAGGACTGGGTCCAAGATCTGTTGCAGAGAGAGAATAAAGAGATTATTTTTCATTATTTTTAAATGGTTGTTTTTGTTTTGTTTTAATTTGCACAGCTGCACCGAGGAAGTAACTTAGGCACTTTCTGTTCTTAAAAATAATAAAGTCTCATGACTTTATTTGGAGCCCACGTTGATAAACACGGCCCACCAATCAGATAGCGAGGCTATCTCGGTTGTTCGTAACCGAGCCATAGACCCATTTCCCCTGCAGACCCCAACCCTAGTGGAGTGAAGCTCTTCAGCCCCAGCGCTCCCGGGTGATTCCCCCTACCATAACACTGGACAATTTCCTGTTTACGTTGTTGATTGCAACTACAAAGGTGGACTCCAAGCAAAGCACAGTCTTTCAGCTAATGCAGAATTCTGTAGAGAACTCTAAGAAGGGAAGAGGTTCCCCAGGTCAGGCTCCCACCCCAGGGGTGCAGACCCCAGGAGCCCCCCTTAAGTGAGGGTACTGCATCTCTACTTATTCTTCATGATGATTCCAAGAATTGGGTTTTTCCTTTTCAAATGCACTTTGCTTTTTTTGTATGTTTTGTTAAGTTGGGATGTTTCTAAAGAAAAGATTTTATGTAATTATAAGAGGAAGTGTAGTGAACTGTACAGCTGTTGTAATAATGACCTATTTCTATATAAAATAAAATTGTATGGATTATGTGTAAATTATTTTGTATCTGAGACACCAGTTCTTTTCCCAAATATAAAAATATAAAAAGTTTTCTTGTGTTTTTCTGTGAGTGGACATTTTGTAATAAATTAACAACTTTGTACGATTTCCTCTGTCCTTTGTGGTACATCCTTGCATGCGTATTTCATCTGGAAAATTTTATCTCAAGATGTTTCAAGGATAATCAAAAATTCGGAAATGGAATGTGTCAGCTTTCCACTACGGTGACAAAGTAACAGGTAATTGAGGAAGAGAGGCTGGCTCTGGGGGCTGAGCTCCAAGGTAGACCACTTGCCTGGCAAGTGTTTCCCAGCTCTGAAAAATTAAAAATAATAGCCGGGCACGGTAGTACACTCCTGTAATCTCAGGTCCTCAGGAGGCTGAGGCAGAAGGATAACAAGTCTGAGGCCAGTTTGAGCAACTTACTTAGTGAGATCCTGACCCAAAACAAAAGGAGGGGTGGGTTATGACAGCGGCAAGAGTGCTTCCCTAGCATATGTGAGGCTCTGGGTTCAATCCCGAGTATAATATGAAAATACATAATATAAAAGATAGGAAAGGTTTGTTTTGGACCACCCTGGCAAAGGTTCAGGCCATGGTCTCGGTCCTGTTGCTTTGGGCTCAGGGTGGCACTGTACGTATATAGTTGCAGGAGCCCAAGGAAGCCAGGAAACAAAAAAAGAAAGGGGCGGGGCCAGGATTCAAATAGTCCCTAAGGCCACACCCTTTGTGATGTCACTTCCTTCAACTAGGCCCCGCCTCCCAAAGGTTCCAAGGTCTCCAGATAGCACCAGCCTTCAAGTAATGGCCCTTTGGGGATATTCCAGATCTCAACTGTAGTACGTCCAAAACAAGCAGCACGCTTAGTGAGGTGATGTAAGGTTTTAAACTGTGACTGTGCACCTGTCTATCTAGCTCATGGTCTTTCAAGTTTGTGCCAGAAAAACAATGTTGCACCATAGAACTGACAGCAAAATAAAAACTGAAGAATAGTTCCTAGAAACATCTCGACCTTATTGGTTCTCTATGGAGATGACTAAAACATTCTGTCTCTTTTTTGCCTTTTAGAGACAGGGTCTCACTATGCAGTTCAGGCTGGCCTTGAACTCACTTTTTGTAGTTCAGGCTGGCCTCGAACTCACAACGATCCTCCTGCCTCAGCCTCCTGAGTGCTGGGATTAAAGACATGAGCCACTATGCCTGGGTGACCAAGACATTCTACCACAAAGCATCATTTCATTGCCTATTATTAAACTCGCCCAGGCTGAGATCCTGCGGCACCCGGGGGTATCAGTGTGTGGCAGGTTAGGGTGTCTATGTGCAAGGTGTGAGCAAGGACATTGCCCCTCTTGAGGCTCAGCGTGTTAACATGAGGTGCCCTGGGGTCCGGGGCTTGAGAACCACTGAGCTGGCACTCCCTTTTCAAAAGCACTGCCCAAGACAGCCACCATCCTTTCATTGCTCAGACACTAGAGCTCTGCGCTTCTACCCTCTCCTTGATGGAATGAATAGTTCTTCTCCATTCTGTGACTAGGGCTCCGTTTGGAACAGCACGAGAGAGTGCTAAGAGAGTGTGTCCAAAGGGACTTTCATTATTCCCGCAACTGCTCCATTCCATGGGAAAAGAAAAGTCAAATACTTGTTTGAACTAGCAACCTTTGCTCTTTGAAGGAACTTAAAATTTTAAAACCAAAAAGTTCGGGCTGGGGATTTAGCTCAGTGGCACAGCGCCTGCCTGGCAAGCGCAAGGTCGTGAGTTCAATTCCTGGTACCAGAAGTAAAAACAAAAACAAATAAATGAACAAAAATAATCTGTTTAAAAAAAAAAAAAAAAAGTTCTTGTGAAACTGGATTCACTATTTTTTAGTGTTTCTTTTTAATTCAAAGGTTTAGAGATCCCATTTTCTTCTCTAAAAGAATTTGTATTTCAATCTTCTTTGTACCCGACTCCTAAGTAGAACAAGATTTTACAGTGGAAACAGCCTATTTCTTGTGATAGAACTGTCTAGCTGAAACTGTTAAGAGGGTGGAGTACACCACACCGCTAATGTAATTTAGCCCAGCCTAAATCTAACACATGTTCCGAATTTGGATAAACTCAGAAAATTCTTCATGCATAACATTTCTCCAAGCCCACATACATGGAAATTTTAATCCTTAAGCTTTTGATTCATTAAACTTTGCTCATTAAAAGGCTCTTTTGCAACCCTGTCCTATTTCCAGAAAAGCCATGACCTTTCTATTTGGAAAACTATAAAGTCTTGGCTCAAAACTGAACAACCAAGTACACTCATAAGCTTAAGATACGGAAAGCCAACTCAATTAAAATGCAGCATCTTCTGTCTCTAGTGACAACTAAAGTTCGTTAAATCAATTTTACAATTGTTTATGTGGGCAGCTCGGTGATCTGGCCAACTACTAGGCTGCCCTAAGCATGACATTTCTGCACTTTGGCCCAAATGCTCTGCTAACATCTGAGCATTTGGCTCAACATTTCTTCAGCTTCTGTCTTCTGGCTGGGCACACACAGCCCGAAGCTCTCAGGGTCAGGCACTAACATCCCAGAGAAACAACTAGTTTGGATCCTCCAGATTAATGCCATTAGTGGCTTTTTGGACAGATTCTCATGAACTTCATACTATACAAATAAACAACTTTCTTTTCCTGGCAAAAAAGCTTACTGGAAAAAAATAAACCAGAAAGAAAAAAATTCTTGTAGGATTTTTGCCTGAGCACTCTTTTTCGTTTGGCTGGTTGGTTTTTGTATAGACAGGGTCTCACTACGTAGCCCACACTGGCCTCAAACTCTTGGCAATCCTCCTGCCTCAGCCTCCTGAGTGCTGGGATTACACAGGTGTGAGCCACCACACCCGGCTTTGCCTGAGCACTTTTCAATTTTAGGCATGTGTACTATATTGAGTCCTCTTTAAATTATTCTTTTTAAAAATTACTTTGTGCTTCATTTTAAGCACGAACTCATGACTTTTTATAAACTCAGCTTTTCTAATTAACTAGTTATTATTTTATGCCCAAATCAACACAGCCTGGCAAGTGTGAGCTTGTTGCTTTATCTTTTTAGCATTTCTCATCAGTATCCAAAACCAGATTCCAGATTTCTCCTTGAAAAACATCAGGATCATGGTCTTAATTTTTTGCTCCTGCCCTAAACCATAGAACCATATTTTCCAAAGCATCTTGATTCCTTTTATTAAAAACAAACAAAAATCAGCAGAGATTAAAATTTGGGGTGCCTAAAAATTTTTTAAAAACAAAATCTGGGGTGCCTAGATTCAAAGTGAGAACTGGTATTGGTAAAAATGTGGCTGCTGACCAGGCATAGTAATGCACACCTATAATCCCAGCACTTGGGAGGCTGAGGCAGAAGGATTGCTGAGAGTTCCAGGCCATCCTGAGCTACATATCAAATTTAAGAATAGCCTGAACTACATAGTGAGACCCTGTCTCAGCCTCTCCCCCCAAAAAAGTGCTGCTTCCGTTCCCATTACCAGGTCATTCTGCTGTGATACAGCGGAAGACAATACAGCCATGTGCCCTATAGGTGGTTCCATCATGGATGTACCACGTAGATGATGGCACTTACTCTACAGCCTCAGTGTGTAGTAGATACACCACGCGGGTTTGTGTAATTGCTCTCTGGGACGGTCCCTCAGCCATGAAGCTCATCGCTTAGCAGCACTCCTACCAGAACATCCCTTTAGGAAGTGACTCACAGCTGGGTTTCCTTCAAAGTCACGAAGTCACACCGGAGCAGACTGTGGGACAGTCGGCTTTCCGGATGGGAGCCCGCCCATCGCTGAGTCTTTCTCCTAAATTGCCACTCCATGCGAGGCCTTCGGAAGGGCTGGCTTTCATTCTCCCATTCCTCTCCTCTCTCTGCCCCACCTTTAGTCGCCTCCCCAGGCCCACTTCCGCAGAGGCACAGCATCGGCCTCTGCAGGGACCTCACTGGCGCTGCACCACCACCACCGCGGGACACTTCCTCCTTGAGCACCTTATTCTCTAGGTCTCTTCTCCGTCATAGTGGTCCAGCGGCTCCTCTTGGGAAGTTCTACTAGAGCTCCCCGGAGCTCAGCCCAGCCTGTTTTCAGGAAAGTCCCCCTCCAGCCCCTCAGGCCTTGACACCCCGAGGACTGGAAGGTAGCCGGTCCACTTCTTTCTCGCTGCCCCCACCAGGAACAGTGAGATCGTGTTTTAAGGACTTTCTAGGAATCACTAGGTGTGGGTGTTAGCACAGCCAACAAAGACGGAGAGCTACAGAGCAGAAGACGTCCCTAGAAAGTGGTTTTGGACTCTGGTAGTCACTGGCCTGGTTAAAACGGGGAGGAAGCCTGGCGTGGGGACACACGCCTGTCATTCCAGCACTCAGGAGCCTGAGGCAGGAGGGTGAGAGGCCACGGGCAGCTTCCAGAGCTCTGAGCATCAGGATTAGGACACACAGGTGCAGCAGGAAAGGAAATGAGAGCAAGGGCCACAAACCCCTCTTCTCTAACAGGACCCCCCTCCTTTATCTGTGGGCAGCAGTGTGCGTAGCCTCGGCCAAAAACACAAGGTCCTCAGGCTAAGGTAATGGGCAATCCCATCTGCTTCCGGCAGGAGTTGGTCATACCAGCCTGACCGTGCGTCTCAGTTCTCGCCAGTAACGAGCAGAAAGCCACTGGGCGTTGCTGGAAAGGATTCTACTTTCGGACAAAGAGGTGGGCGTCAGGGGATCAGATGCCTGTCCACCGCCGCCTGCCGCCCCTGAGGACGGGCGGGAGACCCGAAGTTACAGCGCCCACCCTGCAGCTCAAGGACGCAGAGGCCTGGGTTCCTGATGTGAGTCAAGACCCTGCTCCAGCCCCGAAACTGCCTCCTCCTCCCGTCCTGGCTGAAGCCCCTGTTAGCAGCTTAGAGGGGAGGCTCCTGGGATCAGGGGGCCCTTTCCACTGGGAAGATCGAGCCCTGCGGTTCTGGCTGCGTCCTTCACGTCCGGACCGCCGCCGGCCAGGCGCAGCGGTGACTGCAGATCGAACGCAAAACAGGCGAGAAAAAGAGCACCTTCTACCCCGAGTCCTGCTCCCACCCAGTTTTGGGATGGGTTTTGGTTTTCTGGAATGGCAAACTGGGGGGAAAGCCCGATAGCGCATTCTTCTACCGGAGACAGGACAAAGCTCACAGCACCAGCACCGGCAAACAGCGATCCTACTAGAGAGCACATCTCGACTGCGCAGCCGCAGCCAGCCCAGGCCCCGCCCCCGAGGCTTGCTGGCTTCTCCTGGCGCAACTCGTGACGTCATGTCCCACCGCCCCCTTTTCTAGCCACGCCCCTTCCCCCCCCCCCGCAGCCAAGCGACCCGGAAGTTATACTTGCAAGCACGGCTTTCCGTCCCACAATCCATTGCGCTCTTCCTTTCCAGCTTGGCCCCGGCAGAGTGAGTATGGTTGGGATGTTGAGATCTCGGGAATCCGGCTTCATCCTCCTCCGGGAGTGTACTGGCTGGCACGGTGGGGTCTCCCCCGAGCTGGCCCGGGGGCTCTGCGTTCCAGGGAGAGGGAACCCGTGCTGCATTAAAGGACTCGGGCGCCTGGGAGGGAAAGTGGCCGGGCTTTGGAAAACCGGGGCCGGAGTGGTTTCCGCATCGGGATGACTGCTTGGTCGTGCGCAAACCTGTGCCACTCGGCCCTGCCCGGCTTTGCAGTAAGCTGGGGGTGAGGACCTGGCTTGGGCTTGCCCCGCTTTGCGTGTTCAGAGCCTCCTGTTTCCTGCGTTTAGATGGCTCCCGCGAAGAAGGGTGGCGAGAAGAAGAAGGGCCGTTCTGCCATCAACGAGGTGGTGACCCGAGAATACACAATCAACATTCACAAGCGCATCCACGGAGTGTGAGTGTCCTGCGGTCGGGCGCGGCGCGCGTGTGGTAGCCCTGGGGACACCCTACTTGGTGAGGCAAGTTCTAGAGATTACGTGGCTCGGAATCGGAGTTGCCTGCACCCCGCTGAAGGAGCTGCGGGGCTTGAGGGGTGCACTGCTCTGAGGTTAGCGACAGGAAACGTGGGATTGAGTGAAATGGGTGAGGGGGTCCATCTTGGAAAACCTGGGTGGGGATTCCGCTGGGACACTTACTTAATCATTACTTTCGTTTTTCAAACCTGGACAGTCTAAAAAATAAAAGTATATATGGGGAAAGCAAACTTTTAATACAGCAGGAAAACGGGCCAGCGAAGAAGCTGTCCTGCGCAGGGTTCCTGTTCTCCCGCCCCACGGAGGTGGGCTGATGGACCTGTCACCTCAGTAAAAATGGTAGACACAGACGCTATCAGCGGTTGCAGGCCAGTGTATGGTGAAGACCCCTGAGTGCTGATGAATTCGTGATGTGAGGCAGTTGTAAGGAGTGATTTTGACTATCGTTTGTCTGCATTTATTTACATCTTGTGCTAGGGGACAGATTTTTCCCTTTTACTCTTGGTGTTTACGGGTAGACATTCCTTGTGTACTTCCACTTGAAGCGTTTTTGTTTTTATATGCCACAGAGAGAAATACTCTATTCAGTCTGTAATTAGTGGGGCAGGTTTTCTTGTATTTGTTGGGGCAGTGTCTCGGGACACAAAGTTTGCCAGAGATGTGTGCCCTTCGGGTTGGATCTGAGTAACCGTGTCAGCCAAGGAACGTTGCGGACATTGCCTTAAGTGGCATCTGTGAATTGGTTCTGGTTCTGAGATCCTGTGTCTTTTTATGTGTGTATACTATGAGTAACCCTAACCCTTCCTCTTCACTTGGGGCCTCGCAGGCTCCTCGCCAACCTTAGCCACTGCTTTGGGCTTTGCAGATGCTTCAGGAAACCAAAAACCTTAATCTGTAGTTAGTAGTAGAAAGTAGGCCACAAGTCCTCAAGGGTGTGGAACAGTGCCCGGGAGAAAGCAAGCCAGGGCCATACCCAGTGATAGCACCAAATCTTAAAAAGATTTAAATATCCAGCTGCTACTTGATCTCTTTGTTGTGGGTAAACAAACATCTCAAAATTCCTATGGTCCAAACCCAACTCCTGTCTTCTCCGGCCTGTCCCTCTCCTGGCCTTTCTGTCCTGTGAGCTGCACCTTCCAAACGCCTCCCACTGTCCCTTCCCAGCATGGGGCGTTCTCCTTGTGCGTTGGCTTCCTGTACACCAGGGTGTTTGCCATTATCTCCAATTAGCGAGCGCACTTGCTAATCATGAGTAGACGCTTTTGCTTTATTTTACGTCTTTCCACCTGTCTGTGCCTCAATCAGCTGCCCTTGCTGCCTTCAGGCCTTAATCCCCTTAGCTGCTACCTTGAAATCCCATCCACTTCCCTCGCAGTCTTCATCGCTTTCCTGGTCGATCTTCCTCCAGTCCTTGCTACTGTCTCATGAACATGGTGGGTCACTTGCATAAGCCACATGAACAAGGGTTTGCCTGTTTTGCTGACTGTTGTTATTCTAGTATCCTTTACTTCTAGATTCTTAATACTTGGACTCTAGAAATGGCGAGGAGGCTGGCAAGGGTAGTGCTTAACGTGTTCAACTTGTGTAAAGTTCTGCATGTTTTGCATTTCTTAGTTAATGGAAACAATGAAATCTAGATGCATCTATCTCGTTGTAAAGAAAAGGTTCCGAGTACTGGAGTCTGCTCGGAACAGATGGTTATGCATCCATGCCCTGGCAGTGCCCGGGCACACACCTCCAGCTGCAAAGTTGATGGTTGTCCTCATACTTCATATGAGGAGTCCACCCACATTTCAGACCATGCCTTGTAAGTGCAGGTAATAGATGAATAGCGTTGAGTGATGTATTCAGTAGTATGCTGTCTGGTGTTTTGATCTGAGGATACTGTCTTTACTTCAGTGAAAATGGATTATACAACTTCTTGTCTGGAGTATTAATGCTAGCTGCTGGCCATTATATACTGGAGGGAAAAAAGGATTGTTCCTGCCTGATACAGGTTTAGTTTGTATTTTGTAAAACCAAGGTATACTGTGTTTTATTTAATGTTGTGCTTGCTTTTTTTTTTTTTTTGGCATGCGTTTGGATTTTAGGGGCTTCAAGAAGCGGGCACCTCGTGCACTTAAGGAGATCCGGAAGTTTGCCATGAAGGAGATGGGGACTCCAGATGTCCGCATTGACACCAGGCTCAACAAAGCTGTCTGGGCCAAAGGAATAAGGTGCCAAAGTCATCTGTTAGAAAGTGACCTGACAGTGACACCAGCTTGTTAGTGCAGGGTCCACGTGATCAGTTAGTTTGATTACTGCCTGGGGGCAAGGGCTCCACGTCTGCAGTGGGCCCCGCGGCGGGGCTGTGAGCTGAGGCCTTGTGGAGGATGCGAGGGCTGTGCGCAGGGCCAGGGGTGGGTACCTAGACACGGTGGACAGGAAACCTGCCTTGAGAGCGGAGTTCTCACCTCCAGGCCCGCACTGCTGCTTAGGAGTCAGTGGTTGAGTCAGTGGTGGCAGCTTTAACACACTGTCAGAGCATCCTGAGGTGACAGCATTTAATGTCCACCTGGGTAAATTTTCCAGGAGTGGGTAAGTGGCTGGCTGATTGGATCTGAGTGTTAGTTTTTGTTCTGTGTGGGGGTTTTGTTTTTTTAAAATAGGGTCTGTCTATGTAGTTCAGGCTGGCCGGAGTGGTCCTCCTGCCTTGCACTCCCAAGTGCTGGGGTTACACGTGTGCGCCACACCTGGCTGGGTCAGAGCACTAGAGGCAAGGGTGGGGTGTGGGCACGCGTTACTGAAAGGAAGCACTGCCTGTAGTAACCCATCTGTATTTCCATTAGGAATGTCCCATATCGCATCCGTGTACGGTTGTCCAGAAAACGTAATGAGGATGAAGATTCACCAAACAAGCTGTACACTTTGGTAACCTACGTCCCTGTTACCACGTTCAAAAGTGAGTTTCACTATCCCACAAAGCTTTCTAGAATTACGTGGGAAAAGTATGACCGTTACGTGTGCGCACAGCACGGGGCACTGACTGGGGCTTTGGGCACTGAGCTGCGGGACAGGCCCTTTGTTAGTTTTGAGCCCGGGTCTAACCAAGTTGCCGGGAGTGCTGCTTATTAGGGAACCTCAGCCTCCCGGGGGTTGAGGTCACAGGCATGTGCCCCCTGTGCCTGCTTCCTGAGCCTTTTTTCCGACAAACTCATCTGTAAACTAAGTATTCGCTCTACCTCTGTAAGCTAGGTCATTTCCAATAGGGACATGAGTAGCAGGTGTCATTATTACAACTTTAAAGTTGTCTTCGTGTGGAGGAGATGCAAAAGAGTACAGAACAGGTGCCGGGTTGCAAAAAGGTTACAGTGGAATGCAGCTGCTTGTCCGACGCTTCCTACAGACGATTCTTGATGTTCAGATGAGGACTGAGTACGAGTGGGAACTGACTGGCTGTTGCTTCTTTTGCAGATCTCCAGACAGTAAATGTGGACGAGAACTAACTTTCAATAAAGTTACAAAACTGCCCTTGTGCTCTGGTTTTGTTTTAACTGTGACACTGTGCTGTATACATAAAGGCCATTCCCCTGTGTTTTTCTGATACTACTGCTCCCTGCCCACTGCAGTTTACTTGGGCAGGGCCTTCGGTTTTTCAAGGTGATTGTGGCTGGAGAGCCGCTGCTCTGGGAAGGTGAGAGGTACAGTTCCATGGGTGTTTACACTGGTGACTTAAATGGGGTGCTGCCAGAGAGGTACCTGCAAGCAAAGAGAACGGGACACACACGGGGAGACGGGCTTTCTGTTCATGGACAGCTGGCACCGCAGGCAACGTAAGGTAAAAGGACTGAGTCAATACAAAAAAAATTTATTAAAAAATGTGGAGGCCAACGCTGAAAGCATTTTGGACACTTAGAAGGACATATCCAAAGTGAATACAACCAAAAATATTAAAATGGTTTCAATTACCAGCATTGAAACAAAAGTAGTGCAAAAAAGCCAAAAACAATTGCACAGATAGTGGCTCTGAGCTCTCAAAAGTCACCACCACCCTTGTCCTTTCTCATCATTCCAAGTGAAAAATGAGAGCTTGGGGTTTTCTCCCTTGATGTGTGTGACGGCTGATCCTTGGTTCTTTCATGATAACCAGCACCACAGCAGAAACACCTATTGCAGCAGATTTGCTAGAAGTCAAGTCATGGTGTGGAGGAGTCGACGGGTACCCTGTACCACTGCCTGTCCAACTGACGATTCTCTCAAAGAATAAATAGAAATAATTGGGAACTGTATCTTTTCTTAGCCAGCTTTCAGGTGGTTTATCTAGATACCCAGCTTCTAAACTGTCCTTGACATAAGAGCCCAGGCTGATGTGACAGGGCCAGCCTTTGCTGTGGCAGACACGTAGAGCTCCGCCTCGCTATGGGTTACTCAGCTTCAGTTCACACTGCGACTGGCGGCTCATTTCAAGAGTTTTGAGGCTGTACTGATTGGTCTTGGCGTTTTCAAGTTTGGACTTAATGTCTAGTGGCTTCTCAAAAAAGTTTACCAAGGACTGCTCAGTAAGCAGTGATGCTAAAATGTGCTCCAGGGAGACTGTCCAGACCCCTTCCACCACACCGGAAAAAGCGCCGGTGTCCTGGGCAGGCCTGCCAGGCTCTGCGAAGACGGAGTCCTGCTCAGGAGAGGGAGCTGGGCCCTGCAGCTCCTCTACACACTCCTGGGAGCCGCTGCCGGAGCCGCTGCCGGAGCTGCTGCTGCGCTGGCCCACCTCCCCAATCTGCAGCAGGAGTGTGGTGACCGTGGCAATGGCCTGGTACAGGTCATTTTCTTCTGGATCTTCATGGAACATGCTGTACAGAGTCTTACAGAACTGGATAAATTCTCTCTGAAATTGGAAAAAAAGTCCAATATAGCAGCATAGTCAGGATGGAAGTATTGTATTTTCCAGATGTTACACTTAGAGGAAAGTACACAACTCCTTTTGAAGAAGCAGAAGATAAAAGCTATTCTCTGCCCTTGCACTCTGCACACTGCCCCAGGGGTTCTGCACAGGCTTAGGAGTGTGCTGTCTACAGGGTAACCATAATAAAGATGGCCTCGTAAAGTGTGAGTCCCCTCAGCCCAGGCAGGCAGCTGGTAGAAAGGTCTCCGAAACAAGCACAGCTATAAGAAATTTCCTTAGGATATTTAGGTTAGAGTTGGTAACGAAAACGTCAGGAACTGCTGAAAAGATGAGTGAAACTGGCACCCTTACCTGAGCAGGACCTAAAAGCTGGAAAACGATAGGACAGTGACATATCTAACTGATGCAAGTAACAATGCTGTCCTTTCAGGGACTGCTGCTCTAGTTAGGGAAGTTGCTGAATGTACCATCAGGACTGAGTGTGACAAAAAATCAGGATTTTTCAGGGGCCTGGCAGGCTCAGCTCAGCCCATTGAGGGACACCGGTGTGACAGCAGTAGGTAGCACTGAGCAAGGAAGTTTGGTCCAGTGCAGGCGTGCTGTGTGGACAACAATGAACATGTCTACACCACAGGCCGCAGGGAAGCTTGTTAGGCCTCAGATGGGAAAGTAGAGGTGAAATCACCAGAAAAACCTCAGTCCTAGAAACATTCGTCTGCTTCTGGGTTATGGGTTGGTACTGCAACTAGGCAGAAGTATTAGGGTAAACATACATTTCCTAACTGTCAAATGTTCGTTAAATTCTGATTCCAAATCACTGGGTAATGTTTGGGGTGGGGAGAAGCGTTAGTGCTGACAGTACTGGATGATAAAATTTATCTCATCCGTCTCAGGGGTAGAGTGAAAATCCAAAACCAGCTTCCCCATAGAGAACAGCATTTCTTAGATCAGCTATAAAGTACCAGTCCTGCACAGTGTTCTGGGGTTGAAACCACCGGCAGGTGTGGCTGGGTGGCAGACACTAGCCTAGCCTGCATCTCCAGGCACCACCAGAAAAAAGACGGATGACACGCTGCGTGCTACAGTCAAGTCAGAGGCTCCCAGCACATTGCAGCACAATAAATTTTAAGTCCCACAGTAAAGCGGCATTCTTAACTGTCAGCCTGCATTTCTCAAACATGGAGACCCCTATCAAATTAAAAAACCCTACGATCATACAGCACCTGTGTAGTGTAAAACCTGTTTCTGGAAGGTGTTCCACGATCCATGTGTATCATGTTCCTGAGAGCACACTCGTTTCTTTGAGGACAGAATATTCCACCCACGGAAAAAGTCATAACCTGGACAAAGGAACTGAACCAACCTCTCCAAGGTGTGAAGAATGTGACAGCCTACTGTTTCAACACAGTGTCCTGCTCCCCAAAGTTAGAAGATCCCGGACTTTGAGGATAAAGAGAGTGCCGAGGTATGGGGTTTGGAAGGAAAGGGGCCCAAGCTGGATTACCATTAATCACTGCACAAAGTCAGGAGACAAACAGTTCATCTCTCCAGAGAAGAAAACATACCTGGCTCATTTTGGGCAACTCTTTCTCGGTTCTGTCTTTTTCTTTGGCTAGATCTCTAATCATCTGCTTCAGCTGCTTCTGATAATCAACTGTATCACCTTGAAACAAAGGAGAACAGTAGTTGAAATTTGGTGAAAGCAAACAGGAACACCGGCAGGACACAGTAAGGGGATGAGGAACTCCACTAAGCGAAGTCCACATAGCATTGCGCCGCCAGGGACTCCGTCTGTTCCCCACCGGCTGCACACCCACCCGCACAGCGGGGACGGGAAAGCAGAGGCGGGCGTGCTGGGCACAGCCACACTGCGCCTGCAGGCTTCTGGCTGAGGCAGAGGCTGGGTGAGCCCAGAGCGGGAGGACAGCCAGGCAGCCACAGGGCAGCGAGGGCGGCGGGCGCGCGCAGTGCCTGACGGGCAGCGAACGCGGAGGTACGTGCCGTTGGGCTTCGCCAACACCAGCGGCCTGGACGTCGACAACAGAGGGTTCTTCAGTGGTGACTGGCTGTCCCGGTCGTTTTCAGTAAGTGCTTGGAAGAAAAAAGACAAGTTGAGCACATTTTTTTTTTGTCTTTTTGAGACAGGGTCTCGCTATGCAGTCCAGGCTGGCCTTGAGCTCACTTTGTAGCCCAGGCTGGTCTTGAACTCGCAACCGTCCTCTTGACTCAGCCTGCTGGGATTACAGACATGTGCCACCATGCCCAGCTTGAGCACATATTCTGTCTAACCAAAACTGACGAGTCATTTAGCTTTTGGGGCTAAATTTTTTTAGACAAGAAGGAATCAGAGGCTCAGTCAGCAGCTCCCAATCTATAGGCCACAGGCTCTTTGCAAGTTCAGGAAGCCAGGTGTACACCAAGCCCTGTCCACATGCACAAAGTAAGTGAGGTGGCTCACATCCCACATGGACATGGGCACTGCTGTAACTGAAAATGCAGATTCATAAACGGGCATTGCGCTGGATGTGAGATGCACACCTGTCACCCCAGCACACAGGAGCCTGAGACAGGGAGATCCCAGTGAGTTTGAGGCCACCCTGGGCTACAGAATTTATTCAAGGCCAGCCTGGTCTCATAGCGAGACCCTGTCTCTCACACACACACACACACAGAAAACAAAACAAAAAACACTGCTGAGGTGGCCTAGAAAAACGCACACTGTCAATTCCCATTCCAAAGAAGATATGAACACACGAACGTAAGGAACTCTACAGATGAACAGGCCAGATCTCTGCATGGAAGAGTAATGGGAAATTAAACTGTTTGTTTCTCTGTCATGAACAGGTTTCTTGAAGCACACTAAAAACAGGGACATCAGAGCCCTCATACATAGCTGGTGGAAAAGGAAAATGGCTCAGCTACTTCGGAGCACAGCGCGGCAGCTCCTCCGAATGCTAACACGGAGCTGCACCCCGTGCAGAGCTCCCGGTCCTCGGCATCTGCCAGCGGAAACAGCAGGTACAACGCCCCGGTCACAAACGTCCATAGAGCAAAAACCAAAACCAAAACCACCCAAGGGCTAGCATCTGATGAGCACACCGTGGCGCAGCGCTGCTTGGCGGTATTTGTGCTGCAATATAGATCAGCCTTGAGGATACCGCGTGCAAGTGAAAGAAGCCAGACACGCAACAGCAAATGCTGTGTCAGTTCCATCTACATGAAATGTGCAGGACAGACAGACCCGTACAAACAGGTTTCCTAAGGCTGCGGAAAACAGATGGATTGGGCGTAGCAGCTAAAGGACAGGATATTTCCTTTCAGGGTCATGCAAAGTTTCTTAGATTATGGCGCTGCCTGCACAACTCTGGCTATATGAAAAACGAATGGACATGCTGAATGGTATATAAATTACAGGTCAATGAAGCTACCACACACAATAACCGGGGTTGACAAAGTTCTTCATTTTTAAAAGACTGAAACTTACCAGTGAGCCCTGAGAATAAATCAAAGGCAAAATTCAGTTGTATGGTACAATGGAATACTACTCTGTCATAAAGAAGGCTAAGCTTGAGACATTCCTAGGTAAACAGATGCACCCTGAGACTATACTCTTTAAGTGAAATAAATTGGGCACATGTTTAAATACCACATTGTCTCTCATGTGAGAAACTGAAAGTATAAATAAGGACCAAAATGTATAACAGATACTGGGAAATGGGAAGAAAATGTTCAAATGAGAACAAGGGGAGGTGGGGGGAAAGGAAGGGATAGGAAAGAAAAGCAAACAGAAGGAAAAAATGGAAACTTTTTGTAAACAAGAACCGAGGGCTAAAGGGAGGGGAGGGGAATGGGAAAAAAAGCACCAAGACGTCACGTGCATATATAAATTCCCTATGAGAAATGTTATCAATACGTGTATCTAAAATGTACTAGTAGGCCGGGTGTGGTGGCGCACGCCTGTAATCCCAGCATGGGAGGCTGAGGCAGGAGGATCGTTGCGAGTTCGAGGCCAGCCTGGGCTACAAAGTGAGCTCAAGGCCAGCCTGACCTGCACAGCGAGACCTTGTCTCAAAAATACCCCCCAAAAAAATCTATCTATCTATCTATCTATACTAGTAAAAAAAGAAAATAAAAAATAAACACCAAATTCAATAGACAAAAAAAAAATTCAGTTCTGGTGAGCCAGACATGGCAGCATACACCTGTGTCCCAGCACTAGGGAGGCTAAGGCAGGAAGATCACTCGGAGTTTGAGGCCAGCCTGGGCTACACAGTGAATTCAAGGCTGGCTTGAACTACATAACAAGACCCTGTCTTCACCGGGCGTGGTGGCACATGCCTGTAATCCCAGCACTGGGAAGGCTGAGGCAGGAGGATCATTGTGAGTTTAAGACTAGCCTGGGCTACAAAGTGAGCTCAAGGCCAGCCTGAACTGCATAGTGAGACCCTGTCTCAAAAAAAAAAAAAGAAAAAGAAAAGGGAGGGAGGGATTAAGTTGTGATTCACAAAACTTCCACAAGATGGCACCAAGACTCTGAAAAGTACTCTATCACAGGTTTCTCGAGGGAGGATCCTTTTTTGAAGCTTTAAAAAAAAATTTATAAAACTTTATTGAACAAAAATCCGCATACCTCACAATTTAGTTTTAAAATATATAAGGTTCAACAGACCCCAGCACACTGACAGAGTTGTCTATCACAGTTCTGCCATCCTGTTTTTTTCCTCCTACAACCGTTAAGTCACTGCTGCCCCCAGCTGCCTGAGATGAACAGCGGAGTGGTACCCGACAGACCCTGAATGACCGTCAGGCTGGAAGTGCATCTCCCAGGTGACGGCCACTGGAATAGCAGAGTGTGACATCCCAAAGAAGGGCAGTGTGTGCACAAGCCACCTACAAAGTGTTCAAGGAGCCCAAAGAGCCAGCCGGCCCCAAAGCACAGCTTCCCCAGCTCTGCCGCCAAGGCACACACACAGAGTGACTCCCTTTCCACTGACTCCCTGACCACAGGCCCTTTGGGCAGCAGCTGTCTTGGTCACGTGGGAGCTCGTGGAGAGACAGCTCCTTCTCCCACAGACGGGGCAGCTGGAGCTTGACCTCCACCCGCATCTTAACACGTTTTGCTGGAGGAGATCCGGCCCAGGGCCCTGCTGCTGAGGACGTGCTCTTGTCAGCAGTAACACCCTCTGCCTGGGCCGGAGAGCGGCCGCGCAGTCACACCTTGGAAAAGGGACCGTGAAGTGTCACTTCAGGGCAGCCCGGTCCCCGGACAGGACTAACAGAGGAACCGCCAGCAGTCCCAGGTCGCCCTCTCTGCACAGGCATCTATGGCTGTCACAGCCAGCGGGGCTCATGGCCGGGGAAGCTCCTGGAGGCCACCAGCCTGCCCGGGCTCCTGGTGGGAGGTTCCGTCAGGGGCACCTCCGCGCTGACACCTGTGGGATTGCGTTCATCCCCATCATACATTCAAGGAGCACTTCCTGAAGGGTTCCTTGTTCTTGTTCCTGTCAGGGTCAGTTTTCCTGGGGTTTTTTTTAATTTTTTGAGATAGGGTCTCACTAGGCAATTTAGACTGTTCTTGAACTCGATTCGATATATAGCCCAGGCTGGCCTCAAACTCCCAATGATCCTCCTGCCTCAGCCTCCTGAAGGATACGATTACAGACGTGCACCAAATACCAGGTTCAACATTAAGTTTGACCTCATCAATTTCAAAATTGCTTCCTGCATTCCTGTTTACCACTGCATGAATTTGAAGGAAACACAGTTTTGCATGCTGGAAAATGATGCTTCAAAAACAGTTGCCGGGGACTGGCGATTTAGCTTAGCGGCACAGAGCCTGCCTGGGAAGCATGAGATGTGAGTTCGATTCCTGGCACCAGAAAAACAAAAACAAAAACAAAAAACAAACAAAAAAAAAAACAAAAGCAAAAAACAACAACAAAAAAAACCAGTTGCCAACTGGGGATATAGCTCAGCAGCATAAGCACCTGCCTGGCAAGCACAAGGTCCTGAGTTCAATTCCTGGTACCCCAAAGAAACACAAAAAAACAAAAAAAAAAACCAGTAGCCAGCCGGGCATAGTGGTGCACCCCTGTAATCCCAGCACTCAGGAGGCTGAGGCAGGAGGACTGCCTCGATTTTGAGGCCAGCCTGGGCTACAAAGTGAGTTCAAGGCCACCTGAAGAACATAGCAAGACCCTGCCTCAGGGGAAAAAAAAAACAATAGCCTATAATAACCATCCCGCCTGGGTCCTCGGCACATCTCACAGGCACACACAGTTCTTATCCCAGGGGGCCGGCGTCCAGCTGGGGCCACACCCGGGTCCCAAGCACACTCAGCTGGGCAGTGCCTGCTGCAGCCCAGACTAGAACCCTTGCTTCCCGCCCGGGTCTAAGCAACATCTGAAAAGCGAAGGACTGCCCGCAGGCTGGCTTGCACGCTGTGTGCGGAAGGAGGGCGCAGGCTGACTCCTTTCTTACCTGGAGGGATATGAAGCCTGTACAACAGTTTGATTTTCTCGTTCATTTCTCCATTGTACATAATATCTGCAAAAAAGAGACACTGGCTACCAGTGAGCAGCTCCCACTCGCCGCAAGCAGGCTCGCTGCAGAGCGCCAATGCCCGTCCCCACGGGAGCCCCCAGACCACACCGGGTTAGAAAAGAAAGCGTCAGGGGTGGCTGGTGGCTGAGTGACACCCTAACCTCAGGAGTCGGCCTGGCCTCGGATCCTTGCAAAGACTCATTTTAGAGACATGGCTCCCAGCACAACGTGGCCACACGCCGGGTACCCCCGAGAACAAATCAGTTGGCTCCTCGGGGAGCCCGAGCCCCTCCCCTCCGCCATGAAGGCAGCCTTTGGGGCGTGACATGTGCAAGTCCCAGCAGTGTCAGGCTGGTCGCCAGTGCACCTCGATCCTCTGTCCACAGACAGGCCACGCCCACGGCTGCTCGAGGCTCAGGTCGTACCCAGGCAGCTCACAAATGCCCTGAATTCCAGGAGCTGGTCCACGTTGTCATCCAGCAGCCGGAAGGCCCTCTCCGCCAGGATCTCGGTGTGGGCCCCGCAGGTCCAGGGCGACAGCAGCAGGAAGAGGCGCGTGAACTGCTGGGCGTCGATGCGGTACTGCTCGGCGTAGGGCCTGCTGGGGTCGTGGCGCAGGGCCACCGGTCCGGGCTGCGCCCAGTAGCAGCTCAGCATGTGCTCCCGCTGCAACGGGAGCAGAGGGGAGAGAGCTCGCCTCGGGGCAGCGCCAGGGGCATGCAGAAAAGCAAGGCCAACGCGGCCTGGCTTCGCCTCCAGAAGCGCTGCTCGCTCTCTAAGTAACGTTGTAAGGCAAAGGAGGTGACAGGTCCTAGGTACACAGCGGCCATGAGGCACGGCAAGGCCCACAGGTGCGGGCTATGGGGGGGAGCTGCAGACACCCCTGATGGGTGGGCGGGCAGGAAGCATCGCTGTCTCCTGCACTGTGAACTGACCCCGCTGCTCAGCACCGCAGCCTGAATGGGGACATCCGGGGGACACCAGGCTCCGCCCGCCACAGTGCAGTCAGCAGAGAGGTCTGTGGGCAGAAGCAAGGGGGGCACCGGCCCAGCCTTGGCAGGTCCCAGCCTTCCCGCCCCGCCCGGCACCCCTACCTTGAATAAGTCGTAGAGCTCCTCCAGGTCCTCTGGAGAAAGCGACACCTCGGGGATGACGACGCGGAGCTGAAAGAAGGAACAGGGACAGCGTGAAATCAAGGCCAGCTCAGGCGCCAGACCCCCGCCTGCAGCGGCTCCCCGTCCCAGCAGCATCTGGGTGCTCAGGGCAGAGGCCTGAATCCCACCTCCAGGGCAGGAAGATGCTCTGCTCGCTACTCCCACCCCCGTGACCTGTGCCCAGGCACCCTACACCACACATCCGCCCCAACGCTACATGCAAGGAGGGTCAGCCCCATTTTACAGTAGGGACACTGAGGCTGCCGGGGCTTTGCCATCTGACTCCAGAAGCCCGTGCTGCTTCTACACTGCGTCTCCCCATTCAGGTTCCAGTTCCATAACAAACAAAAGAGCTGGCATCCTTGCCACGCCAGCGCACGGCCCACTGCACACCCCCGGGGCCTCCGCTCACCACGTTCTGCCTTGTGGTGTCCTCGTGTCCCTGCAGAACCCGGATCCGGTGCTTGCAGCGCAGGTGCTCGATCTGCTCCACAGACTGGTCCCCGAATTTCTGCAAGGACACCCCCCGCCCCAGTCAGAACCCCTGCCAGGATCCCCCACACCCCACAGGGCCCACCTCCCAGGGGGCATCCCACAGGGAAGGGCCGGGAAGGGACACTGGGGGGAGCAGAGGGCACCGAGGCTGGGCCAGGAGCTCCTGCACCTCGTAGGAGTCCCGGATGAGGTCAGCAATGTCAGTCACAGGGTAGGGCTCCTGGTCATCGGAGAAAAAGGCATGGTGGCTGCCGACGGGGGGCCCCGGGCTGTCTTCATTCTTAATGTGATCTAGAAACCTGAGCACACCCCGTTAAAGCCAAGTCCCCCTCACTGAGCCACACAACACCCACTGCCCTCGGGGCGTTGGACATGCTAGCTCGCCTGCAGACATAGCATCTGGGAGAAGGTGAGGTGGCCAGGGCCGCGGGGAGGCCCGCCAAAGCCACGCTTGTCCACCTGGGCTCTGGGCAGGAGTCCGGCCTGCGACTCTCCAGGGAAGTCGGTATGGGTGCTGCGCCGCTGATGGAACCGCGCAGTGACCCAACGTCCTGCCTCCGTGCTGCCCAGGTAGCCGGGTCCAGGGCTCAGCTGCTGTAGTCCCTCCCGCCCTGGCGCTCACTAGCCCCGTGGGCATAGCGTCCGAGACCCCAGTGCTCCCACCCTGTTCGAGGCTACTCTGAGTCCGCTGGAGACAGGTTTAGCACTTACGGCCCTGCCCTTCCTGTACTTCCACTTGGTGGACAGGGTGAGGGAGGACGGCAGCTTTCACCCCACACTGGTGGCAGTATCACATGGCAGAGTGGCTCTCAGGAGGCCACAGGGTCACAGGTGCCAGAGCAGAAGACAAAGCTTCACAGCACCGGCACACCTGCTGCCACCGCCTCCTGTGGTCTTCCAGACTCAGCTGCCACCGCCTCCGACCCCGGGAGCCACGGGGGCACAGGGCCAGGGCCCACCTGCTGAGGATCATCAGGGCCTGGCCGTCGTCCTTGCTGCTGCACAGCTCCTCAGCGGTGGCTTCCAGCACAGCCAGCCCCAGCTGGAAGATGGCTTTGATCCCATCATAGAAGAAGCAGTCCACCACGTTCACGGCGCTCTCCAGGGGCATGATGCTGAGGAACAGGGTCAGGAACCACGAGAGTGAGACCGACGCTAGGGCCGAGAGGTCGTGCATGTGCTCCGCCAGCTCCGGGAGATGCTCCTTGATGAGCTCCTCAAAGACAGACTGGTCCACCTGAGCTCCTGCAAAAGGAAGGCCACAGAGCTTTGGGAGGAAGGAATCATAAGGGGTATACCCAGCCTGAAGAAAGAGCTACTCTGAGATGACCAGGACGAACAGAAAAGAATGCAAATTCAGGAAAGGTCTCATACTTAGTTCACTATTGTCATTTTAGTTCAAAATTGACATTTTGATCAAGTGATTCAATGGGTAAATGATAGTCTTTGCCAAAAAAAATGTGGTCCATTAACTGGACATCAATATGGCGGGGGGGAAGGGGGCTTCAACCCCTACCTCACACCATACAGAAAATACATTTGAAATGGTACACAGATCTACATAAAAAAGCTAACACTGTAAAACTTCTGGAAGAAAATATAGGAATAAGGCCATAAAAAATACTAACCATAAAAAAAATTAAATGGACTTCCTTCAAAACTCAAAACTGGGGCTGGGGATACAGGTCAGTGGCACAGCGCCTGCCTGGCAAGTGCAAGGTCGTAAGATCCATTCCCGGTGCAAAAAAGAAAAAAAAAAAAAAATCCCTCAAAACTGCTACTCTTCAAAAGACACCATCAATAAAATGAAAGTGCAAACTTCAAACTTGGAGGAAACACTTACAGTACATCTCCCTGACATAGGCCTTGTATACAAAAGAAAGAACTTCCGCAACTTAATCAGAAGGCACCAACACATTTTCTTTTTTTAATATGTAAGTTCAAGAGCTGAGCTTTCAAAAGAGATAATAAACAAATGGTCGCTGGGCAGAGAAATATGTTCCAAATTACTAAAGAAATGCAAATTAAAGTTCCCATAACAAATACCATTTCTAACCCAGTAGAATTAAAGACAGATGAGGGCTAGGGATACAGCTCTGTGGCACAAGCACCTGCCTGGCAAGCACAAGGTCCTGAGTTCGATTCCTGGTACCAAATAAATAAATAAGACAGATGATCCCAAGGGTTAACAAGGACACAGAGCACCTGGGACACTCACACACTACTGGAACGAGGTAATAAATACACACCATCCACTTGGGAAGTCACCCAGCAATTCCGCTACCCAAGAAAATGACAATATACATCCACAAAAAGACATCTGCGTGAATCTGCTACTTTATCTACCATAGCCCGAAACTGGAAGTAACTCAAATTCCCATGGAGAGGTCACTGGACAAGCAGCTCACGGTGTGAACACAGTGACACGCTACTCAGTGTCACTGACCGACCACTACCCACCTCCAGCGTAGGTGCCTACCCCAGAGGCACTACGCTGCGTGGCCCAAGTCAGACACGGCAGACTCCATTCTCCTTTTTCACCTTTCTAGGACGCTTAAGAGTAGGCCGAACCCACCTACAGTGACAGGAGTTAGGCCCAAGTACTCCCCGCAGCAGGAGGCTGGAAAGGAGCGTCCTGGGGTGACACGGAGGCCCCATGCTGTCTTGCATCACGGCCACACGCTATCAAAAAGGGTCCCGCTAACTGTCAGTAAGCATGAGCTGGCACGGCAGCATTCGCCAACAAGCGGCCCTGACAGCACGCTGCCGAGCGACACCAGTTCTGTTTACTTCTTGCCACTCCGCACCTTATGCTGCCTCCCACAAGACAGAGTGAGAAGGGAAAGGAGCCGGTCACCCACGCAGGCACCGCAGGAGCCAGCAATGACAGCCGAGGCGCATCTGCGTCCCACAGACAGGAAGCATCGCCTCCTTCCCAGCCCTCCACGCCCCGCTCCCACCGGGCATCACGGCTTTTAATTCTACAGCCAATCTTAAAAAGCGCTTTCTTCCTGCCTTGCCCCCACCCCCAGTCAGCCGCCAAACTCTGCCCCAGATTAGCTCGTTCCTGTCCCCACACGGCCACTGACCTCACAGCCGGCCTCCTCCTCTCTTCTCACCCACTGAAAAGTGTCCCGAAGAGCACTACCAGACCCGGTTCTTATGTTATTTTCTCCAACACAAGGCTGCTGACCACGGAGACTGCACACATTCAAACCAAAGCCTAGGAGAGCTAGAGGCTCTGAGAGCAGAGCTGTGGGGCCACAGGTTCCCCTGGAGCCCCATGATGGCCGTGTCCCCCCAAAGATTCACGAGTTACGCTTGGTCCTAAGCAGGAGGGGATCCCTTAAAAGGTGGGATCCAGGGGGCGCTCAGAGGTCACTCCTGTGACCCCCAGGTGGTTTCATGAGGAGGTGGGTATGAAAGCAGCTTCCTGGCCTGAACCGCGGCCCCCTGCCGACACATGCTCCTGCTCCGCCATGCACGTCCTCCACGGGGGCCTCACCAGAGCCAGCAACAGGCACCACGTCTGTGCGCCTCCAGCACGGTGAGCTAAGTCATCCTCCGTCTTCGTAAGCAGCCTGCACCAGGTGTCTGATTACAGTAACGGAAAGCTGGCTCATACAAGCCCAGGCAGCAACAGGTTTCCTTACGTAAGTGGGAGACCTACGTGAAGTGAGGCCCGAGGGTCCCCGGCACCAGCCCACCACCCCGACTCCTCCAGGGAACAGAGAGCCTCCCGACAGAGGCTGTGGGCCCGCAACGGTGAGCCTCTGGCTCTCAGCCAAGTTGCTGAGCTGTTTGTTCTACACTAAAACCTCAGTGCCCAGGCTCGGCTGCTGTGCTGGCACTCTGCGATAGTGAGTGTGTTTGGGGTTGCAGTGTGGGCCCTCTGTGTCTCAAACGTTCGCCACCACTGTCCTGAGGACCCGGGGGTGCTTCGTCCCTTCCCAGGCCCCAGCACCAGTGCAAAATCACATTCTGACTTATTTTCTGGGCATAAAGATTTTTCTTTCTTCCTGTAAGTTCATCTATTCACCTACATTCAATTGTTTTTCATCCGAAATCCGCAGTGTCTCCATCAAGAGCTCACTCGGGTTACCTTACCTCACCGTACTGCTAGAGCTGCACGGAAAACAAACTCAAGAGCCAAAGCGTGTCCGTGCGGAGGGACTGCGTGGGGAGCACTGACGCTGAGCATGCTGCCCGGACGCTACGCCCAGGTACGGAGGCAGCGGGGAGGCGAG